CCCCATCAGCAGAAATAGAACATGATAAACAAAATAGAAATAATGAAGTTACTGTAGTCTCCTTTGCTCTAAAGTCTTTTTTTTTTTGTTTTCTTTTAAACTTGGTAATACATTTAGTTAGATCTAAGTGGAATCCTTCTAATGGGGAAAATCAGATTGGGATTTGTGTGGTCAATATGCTTAGATTTACATCTGATTTTTAAACTTGAATTTGGTCTTGCAAAATAACTGTGATAACTTAGGTCACGATGAGATTCGTTCTTATTAAAGGCATTACAAGAATAAATTCATAGCTGCCTATCCCACATAATCGTAGAATTTTCTCCAATCTCATTGGGTATATATACCTTCATGTGTGAGGTTCCGCTTAGACTTGGCGGGTGTGTGGTTGGACTTGCCAAGCGGGAAGGAACCAGGCGGTCTCCAAGATGCTGAGTTCACACGTGCGAGAGTAACAGGATGTTGCTTAGCTTATAGTACTGTTCTGTTAAATGATTTACCAAAGAGATGCTATCAGTGCTGTTGTGGCAAGCACACAGTGCTGTACAGTCTTCCTGTTTGTTACTATTTGCAAAGAATTTGAAGGCAAAGAGAATATTGATTCAGGAATAGGCTTCTTGGAAACCTGATGTAGGGAGAAGTGTTAAAAAGATACTGATGTCACAGCATAAACTGCAAACCTGGAATGTAAGAATGCAAACCTGGTTATTAATAGCTGTCAGCTCCAACCCGTGTGGAGGAAGAGCCTTAAAGTAAATCAGTAAATGGCTGTGGTTTGTAATATGTCACTTGGTCTTTCCTCTAGTTCCAAATGTGACCACAAGCCTTGAAAAGATATTCAGAAATAATCCCATAAACCACAGATTAGCAACTTTGATTTCATCATTCCGGGAGTACTAAACGATAATAAAGTGAACATGGATTAGGTAAGTAGCTAAACATTGCCGGGGGGGGGGGGGGGGGGGGGGGCAGGGAGGTTGCTGTAATACAGAAAGAAACAGTCTGTTAGAGTTGCTCTTAAAATCCGATGAGTTAGTAGGAAGATAGCTGGGTTGCAGCCAATAAAACAATCATGGAACTTGGAAGGTCATCTTGTCCAGACCTGTATGTGCAGGGAGATAGGGCACCGTGCTAGGTCAGGCCAGCCCTGCATCTGCCTAGTCAAGTCTTCAAAACCTCCAAGAACGGAGATTTCATGGTGAAGAAAATAAGGTGCTTCTGTAAAAAATAAAAAAGCAAGGCCTCCTAGAGAAAATTAGCTATCTATATCTAGGGACAAAAGTCCTTTGTTAGGCAGACAGCCATGAGCCCAAAGGATGAAACCAAGTGCCTGGCAGGACTAACCACTTCATCCTTGCAGTGAGGGAGAGCTCTGCTGGTTGCAGGGCACGTGCTGAGTTCTGCACTGCCACACGTCTGCGGTGGCCTTCACGAGGGACCGTGCTGGGCAGGTGATCTCTGCAGGTGATGCACGAGAGCTGCACATGAACTGAAGGCAAAGAGCTGCCGAGGATCTAGGCAAGGACTGCGTGACTGAAAACTCACACCCAAATCATCACAGATAAATACAGAGCAGTGACCATGAGGAAAAACTACACCTACACCAAGCCAGACCTATACTGTGGCCACCTAGAAAAAAAGTCACAGACACTTCAGTAACGAGGAAAGACAACTACAACACTCAGAAATTGTAAGGAAAGGAAGAAAAGGAGAGAAAAAGGGAAGTGTCATGGTACTGCTGTATTCTGAATATGGAGTGGGAGAGGCAGCAGGGCAGAGGAAGGTAATGAATAGCAACTTGATCTTCCTTTTTTTCTGCTTTACACCCTGAATAATCAGACTTAGAAAACAGCTAAGTTCAACAGCACAGAATCTTTCATCTTGGGGGAAGATGAATAGAGGCCTATGATGATGGAGAACAATAAACTCAAATATGGTGTGGAAAAGGTTAAGTAAGAAATCACTTTTCTGCCAAGAGCTCCCTCTCCTTCTTACAAGAAGGAGCCCAATGCACTTAATCAGGTAGCAGAGTTCAGAACAAGCTAAAGGTGTATTTTAGAACAGCACAGAATTAAACTGTAGAACTCACTGGCCCATAATACTGGGGATACTCAAATATAAATGCATTTAAGGAATCACACAAATGTATAAGTGGCGGCCTGTTAATGGTTATGGAAGAAAATGCTCTTAATTCAGCTTGATGCTGGGGGTAGTGTCTGGAGGAGCATTTGCACACAGATCACCTGAACTCCTGTGCTCGGAGGCACAGCACAAACACACGGAAGAGCTGAAGGTTACACTGACCTGCTGCTCACTTCTGCACTTCGGGACTTTCAGAGGTCTGGGCTGTACTAAAGCTCATGCTGTTGATGTCCCAGATGAGGTGCAAGGATGGTGTCACTTGGAATCTAAGCTATCATGGTTCTTCTGCTGTTTTTTCCTTTTTTTTTTTCTTTTGTTTTTGGTTGTTGAGTAGATTTCTTGGATTCCAAAAGAAGAGAGCAATGTCGTGAATTTTAGTGGGAAGTGGCAATCCTGTTGGCAGCTGAAGTGTAGGTTGCTGTTAAGCGCTATTGCCATTCCTGTAGGTAAATTTGGTGCTTTCTGCATAAGCCCTCTGAACCTGTGTAGCCTGTTTGCTTCCCATGTGCTTTATTCCAGGGAAATAGAGTAGAAAATGTGGTTTTATGTTAATAATACACTTCAAACAAATGCTGGTGGAGTCTGAACCGTTTGCTATGGAGTCTTAGCTATTGTATACAAGACAGTTAAAATGCCCTGCAGTGTTTGAGGACTAGCAGTTCCCCCAAATTTTGCAGCATTCCCTCTCTCCCCATGGCCTTAGTGGGAGCAAGCGTGCTCTGCTGCAGGTACGTGCGGCAGGAGCAGCTGCACGCAGAGCCTGCTCCTCGGTCACCCGCAGCGCTCCAGGGTTAGCTCGGCCTAGACGGACAGAGCTCAGGGGCTTGGGCTCCCCCACCAAAGCCCTGCTTGTTCTAGGGAGGGAGCTCCTTGTATGTGCCTGGATGATGGCCTGGCTCCATTCCCAGTTTTTTTCAACTGCTTGGTTATCTATTTTTCAGAGCTCAGCATTTACCCCTTTGTCCTTTCCCTCTCTTCTACCTCCATCTTCACCTTCACCTGCTTTTTCCCTGTCCACATATGCCTAGCGAGCATCCATTTAAATTGTCTGTATTCTTTCAAAAAACATTTGAAATACTCCTGTATAAGTTGCTGCACTCGGTTTGCATTCTCAAGAATCTTAAACACCCAGGCCAGACAGAAATGCTGGCAGATCTTGCTCAGATTTCAACACTGGGCAGGGCTCCAGCTTGTGATGCCTGGGATGGCTCACGTTCAATCCCCATCCGTGTCCCCTGCAGGTCCCACAAAAGCAGGCTGGGGTGCAGGTGCCTCTGGGGCCTTTCTGCAGCTCGCTGCCTGGCGCCTCAGCCATGCCCCGTGGCGAGCTCGGCTCTTCCTTGGATGCTCACAACGTCCTCGGAGCGACCTGGAGCCAGGCCAGAGCTGAGAGGGCTGGGTAGCAAAAAGGCCAGGGAGGCACTTCCCCTGGCCTTGTGGAATGCTGCTTTGGGGTATTCTCCATGCTGAGGGCTGGAGGCTGTGCATGCATAAGGGGCATCGCTAAGCCCGGCCCATGCTGTGTTCCACAAGCCTTACATCAGGTACAGCCAAGCGAGCGTGCAGATTTAGCCTAACTATGAGAGCCAGCCTTTAAACAGGATTTTTCAAACTGAATTGCATATAGAAGTGACATTAGTTCAGATAGCATCCAGCAGGCATGTACACTGTGCTGGCACAAGTCCAGCTCGTGTTAATTATTAAGGAGTGTTATTTTTAGTGTCTACATTTGCAGTCGATTCCACATGACTGTATCTTTGTTTCCATGAGAGTTCATTACAATGTCAATTCTTATTTATTTGATTAGAACCTTTATAATAAAGGTGCTACTGCACATAAAACATGTTTGCAAACCCCCTGCTTGATTTCTCTACCCCCATATGCAGCAGGCTAAATCAATCTATGAATTTTAACCATGTTCTCTAATATTACAGAGTGTCAGGTTTTTCTTAGGATCTTAAGTCTAGGGAAACAGCAAGGAGGAGTTGGTCTGCAAGAATATACTATTCTTTCCGAAGAAATGTGTAAATGGTTTTAGTTAAACAATCTGCCCTTCTGCCCAGTTACTCTTTCTAAAATAATTATTTTTATTTAAGGACTCTTAATTGCAATAGCAATAGCAATTAATAGCAATAAAAGCAAAAAATCTCTTCTACAAAAATATCCTCACATCCTTGATGCCTCCTGGTATAATTTACATGTAAGTGCACTTTACTATGGCAGCTTTAAAATGTCGTTAATGTCTATTCTTAAGAGCAAATTTTATATCGGTATTTTCTTCAAGGAAAATAAGCTCTAGCTTGCAAGTGGCCCTTCCAGAAGGCTCCTCAGTGGTGTGCGGGGGCGGGGCTGAGTGCTGCCCTTCCAGAAGGTTCCTCAGTGGTGTGTATGTGTGTGTGTGGGGGGGAACGGGCCGAGCGCCCTTCCAGAACGTTCCGGAGGGCGGGGCCGAGCGCGGCCCTTCCAGAACGTTCTTCAATGGGGAAGGAAGGGGCGGGGCCGAGCGCGGCCCTTCCAGAATGTTCTTCAGTGGGGAAGGAAGGGGCGGGGCCGAGCGCGGCCCTTCCAGAACGTTCTTCAGTGGGGAGGGAAGGGGCGGGGCCGAGCGCGGCCCCTCCAGAATGTTTTGGGGGGGGGGGGGGGGCGGACCGGGCGACTGCAGGGGGGGGGGGGGGGGGGGGGGGGGGGAGTAGTGCGGTTGTTGTCGATGGGGAAGGGGGATGAGGGGGCAGGCTGAGGGAGGCTCTTCCAGAAGGATCCTCCGTGGCATGGAAGGGGCTGGGTGTGGGCTGAGTGAGGCACTTCTAGAACATTCCTTGGTGGTGCCTGCCTGTGCTGTGGGGGTCCTTTCCTGCTGCTGGACCAAACCCGTTGTGGCTTTGGAAGGACACAATGTGTCTGTGGAAGGACAGAGCTCCTGATAAACTTCTCCAGGTAGCAAAAACATGTTTTATATAGATTTTTCAAGCTAGAGATGGCCCTACTCCTCTTTTCTTCCTTCTTTTTCTCCTTTCTACCCTCCCAAGTCTGGATTTGTGTTGAGGGCATTTTGAGTTGTGAAGACTCTATTGAATTTTTTTGCTTGTTTGTTTTAACACCTTACAGAAAAATTTTGGTGAAGTTGAGATTGTAGGAGCTTTTTATCTGAAGTTTCTGGTGAAAGGGGAGAGAGGTATTTAAAGCACACTTGGTTATGCTAAGGTTTATAGGAATATTTTTATTCAAATTGCAGTTTAGAGATTGCACTTTTACACTGTAACAGTATAACCCATTCTCCTTAGGAAGCCAGGCTACTTAGCACCCACGTGAAGCTGGTAAAACCTGAGTTATCGCCTTTCTCCCTCCCTGTGACCGTGTCATCCTTCCCTGTGTCATTCCTCCTCAGCCCAAGGGATACCCTGTCTTAGCTCCTCACACGTGGTCCTCTCATTCCAAACTGTCCTGTTTTCCAGCTCGTGACCTTTCTTTCATGCGCTGCAAAGCCAGTGTGTATATTCATAAGCAAAAAATTTAAAGTGTATTCCGTGTTTCTCTTTGGGGAGGGAGAGAAGCAGTAGACCCACGCACCAACGAAATTCTATAGTTAGTATGAAGGAAACAAAAAATACCTTTTTGTAGGGGAGGAGGAAAGCCTAATAATTCAAAATAATGAAACCCTACTTAATGTGGTGGTTGATGCTTATGTGTATTGGGAAGGGAAAAGCCAGAAGAGGAAAGCTAAATGTTAACTGTACTGATGGTTTTTTGCATGGGGGGAAATTGCCTTAATTTCTAGACTGTGTTGATGAGAAGCATCTGGTTTTGAGTGACCAACACTGAATGCTCGCATTTCTGCAGAGATTAGAAAAGCCTCTCTGTGGTTATTAGGAGAATAATTACCTCTTAGTAACAGTTATTAAAGCTACTTGCTGTTGTACGTTGCTTGGGAGGTTACTGACAGGTGAATCCAAGCTTAGCTACATGATCCACCCGTTGTCTTTTCTTTAATATTGAAAATTGCTGTGCTTGTAGGTGTGGATTCTCTGTGAATGGATGTATGTGTCAAAAACTACGAACTAAATGTGAAATTCCCTAGGGATACACCCAGGTGTAGGCAGCCGTGCTCTTCACCTAGATGAACAGAAAGCAATAAAATAGAGGCTGAGTTATTGCTATTTGGACTTTCAAAAAGAGACTCATTATTGCTCTCATGCAATACAAGCTCAAAAGGGCAATTATTAAGTGGCTGGGAGATAGACTAATGATCAGGGTGTCTCTAGCATCAAACATCTTTGCAGAAAATGGAACAATTTAACACTGTAAGAGCTTAGCAGATACGGCTAGAGCTTGAGCAATCAGTTATTAAGAAGATACCCAAGGCGGGGGGGGGTGGGGGGGGGGGGAAATGTATAGTGTAGAATTGGCTTCTGCGCTGCATACCAAGTGAAGATACAACTTGGATACAACTTATTTCTGTGTTGAGGGATAACTTGAAGCCACTAGATAATGTTTGGAGCTACTCCTGCTTTTGGCAACAAAGGAGCTAAGTGTGGGCTGGGAGTTGGGTGATGTCAGAGAGCTCAGTTCTGGCACTGCTGGAAAGGTAGAGGTGTCAGCACTGAAAGCTTAGGGCTGATTCCAGGCTGGTTTTAGTGCGTTGCATCCTTGGAGGCAGGAGGAGAGACAGTCTCAGAACAACCAGCACCCAAATTCATCTCGTCTCTCTCACTTTGGCTGATTTATTAAATTTACCAGACCACTGCCCTCTGCGTTGGACTGCTGCTTCTCCTCTCCGGTTTTGGTACGAAGGAAGTGGGAAGGAAGCACGTGTGTGTTTATATATATACATACACACATATATCTATACATACATGTATATATATACACCCACACACATATGTGTGTATATATACACACACATACAATCAATCAAAAAAAGACCAACCAACCAAAGTTTTTATATATATGTATATATATATATATCTTTTTTGTAAGAGCAGAAATGCTAGCTTTTTCTAGCCAAGTGCCAAAAAATATTTCATGTGACCACTTTGGCTTCCTTTGTAGCCCAAATGGAGTAAATACTACATGTGCTTTCACTCCCTGCCTCGGACTACACAGCATAAAGTGTCTCACTTCAGAAACAACCCTATGGGTTTTCATATCTGTGATCTGTATTTATGTCTGTTGGAGAAAGTAGGAAAATTGGGCCGAAGGCTCCATTTCTGAAGGCCCAATGTTAACAGATCACTTTGCTGCAGTATTATGTTTTCTTTAAGCCTATGAATATTTACTGTTTTCTGCTACATAGTTGTGGAATCACAAAAGGGCTAAACAAAAACAACTCACTTATGTTCTTTTTCACTTGTATTTTTTCAAATTCTATTATGTTGCAGATTTAAGACGTCAGTGGAATATAGATAAATAGAAAAGGATCAGTCTTTCAATCTTCCTGATTTTGAAAGCTTAGAACGTTTTTTGACATCTTGAACAGTTTCACTGTCAAGTGGAGCACTTTGTATGGTTAGATAACTGCTGAGATGGGAGATAGGCTCTGCTTTCTGTTTTGTTCCTGATCACCAGGTACATTAAGCAGAGAATGTAAGAGGCAGAGGCAGTAAGTGAATCCCTGTAAAATCCAGGCATGCAGTTTCTATTTTGGAACTCGTGTGGGGGATGTTTTTATACTACAGTACTGCTGACTTGGCTGTAGCTGTACTTAGTTCCTTGACCTCTGGCCAAGCCATTTTTAACTCTAGTGATACAGGGGAAATGCTTCTAATTCAGTCTTTTTCCCTCTTTTCTCTGTGAAGATGAAGAGCGAAGCTGCTTGTGAGAAAAGGCTAGTAGGTGGTTCAGAACTTTTTAACGCTATTACAGAGTCATAATTCATGCTGGTGACACCTTAGAGTAGAAGTACAAATTGTGCTCTTCTTGAAATCTCAGTATTTCTTTGCCTCCGAAACAGGAATCTGATCTCTTCATTTTGCATAGAGAGCTCGGTGCTTTTATAGACTTCACAGGATGAAATCTTAGAAGCAACACTGGTGTGTTTTTTTTTTTTTTTTTTTTTTTTTTTTTTTTTTTTTTTTTTTTTTTTTTTTTGGGTAAGACCTGTGAAGTAGAACTGTTACTTTGATGGCAGCAAAAGCAGAGATTTTGTTTTTCCTGAGTCACTCTTTTACTCTTTTTTTAAATCTTGTATGTCTCTAGGTAATAAGCACTTTGTTGCTGGTGTTTTATCATTACGTCTCCTGGAAGGCTTGTTGAGAAAATCCATTTGCAGGTGAGCTCAGTTACTCATTATATTTTAGCATTGTGATTAAGGCCACGTCCCAGTTGCTTTTACCTTTGAGTAGACTCTGGCCACTGAGAGAACCTCAGCAGGCAAGCAATTTCAGCAGGATTACTCTCCTGAAGGTTAAAAAAAAAAAAAAAAAAAAAAAATCATCATCTGAGTCCATGTGTACTGGTGCTACTTCCAATTATTGCTGCTTCATGGCTAAAATTTCTTGCCATCACAGCTTGTTCCCCCTTGGTAGGCAACTGAGCTTGTGTGCAGCACAACTCTGTCTGCTTATACCTGCAATACAGGTAGAACAACTTCTGAGCTACTTTTTGACTCAGCTACAAAGATTCCACAGAAAACTAAGCAGCCTTTTAGAGCAGATTATATTAAAGACAATTCTGAGATCTGTACTTCAGCACTTCTGAAAATTTAATGCAGTACATAAATTTAATGCAGTACATTACACGAGGCAAGTATGTCATCAGGCTTATGGCAGTCATCAAAGAGATTCTTTGGGAGTGGTAGGGAAGAGAAGAAGTAAATACCTGCTCAGACAAGCTTTGCAGTTTATTTTGGGACATGTAGTGCACATTAAAAAAGACAGCCATGCACTTCTCTGTGATAACCATGAATTCTGAAATGAAAAGAGCAGGAAAGAGACTTCAGCTAATAAAACATAGGAATGGCGAAAGGCTTGTTACAACAGCTAGGTATTCTTAAGTGAAGCGTTAATCACGCATAGTTCTTGTTCAGGAGGGATGTAACTCAAATAATTTTTCATTTTGATTTTTGTTCTACAGCAGAGATTGTTGGAGTAGGGAGCACTGGCTTTGATTCATTTCTGCATAGTGCAGAAATATGCAAAATCTTCGAAATCCTATCCTAAGCCATAGGAAAGTGACTGTCCTTTGCATAGTTTCTTCCAAAATTTGTGTCCATATACTTAGCAAGGCTTAGAAGGGAAACACTCAGTGTCTTTCACCTGCTTTGGTACTTAACTATGTCTCTGTCCTTCCCTTCTCTCCTTACTAAGTCTGAGCAAACCACCCAAAAGGAAATGCCCATTTTTTTGTGATTAAGGTGAACTGCACCTTCCTGTTTCAGTGCACAGCCAATGCAGAGCATCTCTAGGCACATGTTTCCTTTCTCCCAAGCACAGTGCGACCCGCAGCACACAGCCGTGCAGGTGAGCAGAGAGCAGGGGCAGCTAGTGAGGTGCCGTGTCCTCCAGCGGCTCTGCACAGCTCCTCACTGGCTTGGCTTCGCCTTCCACCTGCAGATGTGGTGAAGTCAAGCAGGGCTTTGCTAATGAGAGTGATTGGAACAAGAATGGAGGAGTGCAGTTGCGTTTTTGTTTGTGTCTGTCTGCTAACTTCAGTATCATGCTCAGAATTGTTGGCTTCAGAGCATTAAGAACAAGTGACTCTCTTTGTAGGACAAACAACTACAGAAATCATGCTAAATGAACAAGTTTATTGGTAACCTGCTTATTTGAAGCAGACTTTGCATGTCTAATTGGCAAAGAAGTGTGAAACAGAATTGGCTCTCATGGTGTCCTGTACTGCCCTGCCTCAGGGCCCTTGCTGCCTTGCTTTGAAGAAGTGAAAAATCTGCAGCCTTGGAATTAATCCTATTAGATGCACGTAAAGGAGAGGCAGCCAACATCCACTTTGATTAATCCAAAGTGAATCTCTTGTAAAGATACCCTTCCCTTCTCAGATACATATTTCAACATGCTCTTGAATGAAAATGAGAATGAAGTTGAGTGAAGCTTGCTCTCTTCTAGATACTTAGGAAGACAAGAAAGGGCTGTGACAACTTAGCATGCTTTGCTTATTCAATTTATAGACCATACAAGGAAGGGAGGATTTATGAGAGATCAAAAAGGACTTTTTGTTGGTTGGGTTTCAAATTTAACAAGGACAAACTCCTGGGATGAGGGAAAGATCCCTTTTCATTACGGAAACATCCTCATGACTGCAAGCCTGTCCTGTTTCTCAAAGCCTTCCTCAGCAGGTGAATGCTTATAGGAGTCTGTTCTAAAGTTTGAATGTATTCTTAACCTTTCATGATGGACATCAGCTGTGCACTATTTTTACTTTCTTGTATAGGAAAATTGAAAAACAAGGAGTGAGGTAAAAAAAGAATTGGTGCCACTGAACAGGATAGTGCTTTTAGAGCTTCCTACTTTTAGTGTTTTTTCTCCTGTACCCTTGAGGAGCTGAATTGTGTGCTGTAGCTTTGTGTTTCTGCCAGGGCCTGCCTAATACTATGAAACAAGTCCAGCTGAGTTGTATCAGACTGTGTCTGTAAACACCACAGAAACTGATAGTTTGATCAGAGGGGAGAGAGAGAGACAGACAAGTGAGTTCTCCCATGGTGAGAATACTGGCAGATTTCAGGTAATCTGTATTCTGTTTGGTATCAGCAAGCTGTGTGGGCAGCACAGGTTTAGCCGTGACTACCCCTTGCCTACGGAGCTATCAAAAAGGTGGAGGTGCTGCTAGTGATAAGAATGCAAATAAAGGTTATGACCTCCCAAAAACATAGGGAGCGTCGTTTTGTTGATTACACTATGCTTGTTGGTTTTAAGGGTTGTAACAGTGTACTCTAATCTACTTGATTTGGGTTTGTGTATTTTCACTGTGCAACTCTGCAGCTCTCCGAGTGCTTTGATTTTTTTGTTCTCAGTGAATTTGTTTCGTCTGTTGCATAGCTATTGTATAACTAATTTTTAGAATTTTTAATTGAAAAATCATGGAATAACACTGGGGCGGGGGGGAGAATCATGTTTGAAATGCACTGCTAAGGAATTCCTGTAGCAGGAGAAAATGTTGAAAAGAGTAGTAAAAAAAGAGTTCAGGATGGGGAGTTCTGCTTCTGTGTTACTGCATTGAGCATCAGCATCAAGACTCGCAGAATGCGTGTATCATTGGAAGGTGTTGGCATGTGCATTTGTTTTGTTTTTGAAGAACGGTTGTGCCCTTATGGACAGACTCCCTGTTTACAGCCAAATGAGAAGTAGTCGTTTTTGACTGAGAAGGATTATGGATTCTGTTGTATAATGAGCTGGAAAAGAAAGGAAACTGCAGTGACTGAAGTGTGATAAATTCCTGAGAGGGAGAAAGAGAAGAGAGATGGATTTATTTCATAGCATTTTGATCCAGTTCTAACAGCAACAGAAAAATTGAGATACTCTCTCTTTACGTACTCAGTAGAAGTGGTAACAAAGTGGATTTCCCCTCTGGGTTTCAGTTAGTCGGTCCCCACTAGTTTGACTCCCAGAAAGGTACAATCACAGAAAGTTAGGTGGGCCATGAGAAGAGACAGTGTTTGTGTCCTGGAGCCATCTGCAGGCTCTCAGAAGTGAAAATACAGAAGTATATTGTATTAAACATGAAATAACAGCAGTTTGCACTCTGTAAGCAGGAAAACTGAAAAGATGTTAATAAGCATTATTTACCTCTGAACAATGCACTGCTGCCTCTCTATGGCTAAGCTGGAAAACTGCATATGTAAACAACTCATTTACAGCTTTTTTTTTTTTTAAATAACCACAGAGTTCTGTTGTATTGTAGTGTCCATAGATGCATCGCAAACCCAGTGATACGCTATGTTTTGTGAGGTAGGAGCACGCTCTGATTGCCAACAGTTCCCTTGGCCAGCAGCGCAATTTCCTTTTGGAAGTACATAATTTTCAAGAAAACAGTCTGTTTTATCTGTTAGTATTTTTTAGAGTGACATAAATGCCACTTCTGAAAAACCAGTAGCATTTGAATACAGTTTAGTGTCCTTTACAGTTCATTTTTACATTAGTCAGCATAGAAATCTGTGAAATAGATTATATTCCAAGCCTAAATGGGAGCCCCTTAAAATCAGTGAGAGACTTTATCTGTTGACATCAGTAGATTTTGAGTCTGTGATAGTTTCTTCCTGTCTCTTCGTACAAAAGTCTTCACGCGTCTTCCACATTTGCATAATGTTCAGCATCTCTCTGTAGATGATTACAAAGATGGAGCATGACTGAGCTCTGCCTGAGAATTTTCATACTCAGCATTGTGGGCTGAAGATTTTTCCCAATGTAGGCAGAACTTGTAGAACTTGGACAGATTTCTGTTAACCAGAGTATCTGGTTAGTGGCTTATAATCGAAAACATTTGGTCAGAAATTTTTCATCTGAGGACACTGATTACTTTTTTTTTCCCCCAGAATAAAAACATATGTAGAAATGTTTGGGAGATTTTACATAGTAATTCTGTTATTTTGGAAGAGAGATGTAATATACAGTAGGAAATGATGCTTTGTGTCAAGGAAAACATTGAGTCTGTCCTCAGTTTCAGACTTTCAAAACTCTGGGGTTTATACATGTTCAGCAAAGGCTGGCTATAACAGTTGCAACTTTTGTCCATGTGGAGAGTTAGCCTATGAAGTAGCTAATGAGCAATAAATCCATACCCCAGGTCATTTTGCAGTAATGCCCTGTGTAATCAAGCCCTGAATCTGTTGTAATTCTGTTGTAATTCATGCTACTTATGAAAAGAGAGTCCAGAAAAATAAAAGTGTATTGGAAAAGCAAACAAATAGCTAGTGCCAATATTTTGCAGTGTTTTTAGAAAAATAAAAGGTTCTGAGCAGTATGATGGATTGTGATATATCTGTTGGTATAGGACACTTTATTGCTAAATATTACTGTAATATCAGAAGACCATTGAAATTAGCAATGAAATCAGATCTAATCCTAGCATTTTTTTTTGTCTTCTTTCATGTTTTGGGCTTCAATACTATGTGATCATTTTCAAAATGCAAACTGGTTGGCTGTGGGTTTTGTTTTAAGGTAGTTGTCCCCTCTCACATAGTGAGAGGTAGTGAAATGTACTTATTCTTAAATCTCTCTGAGCAACCCTGGTATATTTTTTTTGTGTTTTTATAAAAGCTACCTCTTGACATGTGATGCAAAAGTAAAAGTACCAGTCAAAATAACTTTCTATCATGTTGCGTCATTAAGAGAAAATGCTGATGAAATGTGTCATTCTTATACCAGACAGTTATGTAGATAAATTGATGTTGACCTATCACTTTCAGTGATCCAATTTCTTGGGAAAATGGGTAGGTGCAATTTCTTGTCCAAGAAAGATTTATTGTCACACATACCATGGTTAGGAAAAATGTGAACCAGTCTATTGTTATTTATTCCTAGGTCACTTTCAAACTTTAGACCACTGTGTATGTATTCATTATACCTTCCCTTGCCAGCTATTCATCATAGGATTTATATTTTCCATTGCAGTCTTCCTGAAACTGTGACAATGGATTTATTTTATTGCTTTAATATCTTCAGAATGCACAATTTTAACACCTGTAAGAATGTAATCCAGGATGATTTCAGAAGAGCAATTAAGTTTGCAGTTGTGTTTTTGAAGACTGGATGATTACATATCATTTTCCTGTGTTCTAATAAATCTATAATAAAAATCCTTATTTCTATGTCATAACTGTACAGCGAATGACACTGGAGATAACCATTTAAATGAAAATAGTCTGTAAAATTGAAGCTCAAATCTTAGGTGTTCGCTCCTGGCATTATTTGGAGTATAATGTGATAAATTAATCAGTAGATTGAATTTATGAATCTACCCCAATTTTGTCTTTTTTGGACTTGAATTGATGGAACAGACTGTAGCTGCTAAACTGCTATTTCTGAAGAATAAGTGGCTGAGTTGCGTTATTTTGTTCCTTTTATTGACATGCTAATTACATATAGTGAGAGTCACCCTTTGCTCCTGCCTTTTTCTGCAGTCAGGAACATAATAAGGTAGCTTTAAATACTTTTTTTCTCTTTACCCTTCCACAAGACGAAGGTGGATCAATGGAGATTTCTATAGCAAGATGAGCCGCTTTTGTAAGCATAATGGCTACCAATTAATTCATTCCAATTGCTTATCTATTGTGGTTATTTTTTGAGACACCCACTTCACAAAATGTCTGCTCACATGAATGTATTTTAAAAGAAGAACAACCACAAAGATTTTGTGCCTTAAAGTGGGTCTTTTTGGCTTGTGGATGACAGCTGGATGCCATAATGAAACATTCAAAAATTGCATGCAATTGAGGAACCTCGGTGGTCCCATAGAGATCAATTACTAAATTCTGGTCATTTGTAGGTGAGCAGGTAAATAAGTAGTTAATCGGGCATGGGCACAAATAATGAAAGACCTCTGTAACCTAGAGCACATAGTGGTCCTTGTCTCCCTGAATAGCTCTTTCATTGAAATGACTGTAGTGCCAATTAGACTTCTCTAAGCTTGTTTTCCCTTACATCAATATCCTTTGTGTTTCTTTTGTCTTTTAATGACTTTGCAATTGATCCATTTCCTCTTTCATCATGGCTAGTTGACCAGGGGAGGCCAGTGTTCCACACTGCAGTCAGGTACTGGCTGGTTTCATTTGGTAATAATTTCAATAGACTTATTGTTACTCATTTCCATGAGTTTATTTTAAGTTAGAAGATCAGAGGCAGAATTGAATGTCAAATACCAGTAATTAGGAGGAGGATGCTAAAAAAGAACCTCATCTGAAAGCACACTCAGGGAAACTGTAAAAAGTCAAAATAAAAACTGTGACCTTGAAGTAAGAAGTAGTTTTGTTTTGTGCAAGCTTAGATGATTTCCCTGCCCCTTCCTCTCCCAAATACCTGAGAATTTGCTGATTTAGTTTTGTATATCCTACATAAAGATTAGACCTCGTGAAAAAGTTACGAATTTAGTTATCTGTTTAATCACTGCAAAAGGTAGGAAATAATGCAGTTATCTGGTGTGTATTCATGGTGATTCACTTCATAATTACGGATCCCTAGATAAATATGTTTGAATGTTATTTGCCTATGACCTCTTCTGTTTTGTCATCCTTGTATACTTCACCTACCCTTTGCACAATTTTAGCCGGCATGGAGCCATAATTCTTGGATAAGAAGCCTCTTAAATCATTTTCTTGATTCAAAAGTATACTTAAAAACTTGCTTTATGTTTGTATATTTTTCTGTTGATATGTTCTAATTTGACAGCAGTGCATCCTGTAACGGTCTGTTTATCTGTGTAATAGAGTCAGCAGAGACCTCAGTAGAACAACTGCCTTGCCAGAGTCCGCAAGAACACCCCTAACCTACCTCAGGAAGCAGATCCTCTGGAGGTGAGAAAGCCGTGAGCCTTCCGTTTGTTCCCCTCTTGGAAGCTTATCTGAAACTGCCACCGTGCTGCTGACTGATGCTGACTGTTATATGAAGAGTCCTGAGGGGCTGTGTTTGTGTTAGGCACCCAAACCAATAGAAAGTGCTTCATTTTTTCATTTATAATTCTCAATATATTTTTGCTAATGCAGAAAGGATAAAACTACATTAATTATGCTGAGGGGAAAAATATGCAAGGAACACTATCCGAATTACTGTCTGGTAATGGAGGCATAGAGAATTAATTATAAAGGTACATGCCTATATACATAAGACCTTTGACTTTCTAATCCTGCCCAATTGCTGGTGAGGATCACAGGGATTATTTTTGTGAGCTGTTGCTCAGCAAAAGCAAAACAGATCAACCGTAGTTTGTAGGATTAGGTAACAGCCCAGTCCTGTGGCATCAAGCACAAAAAACAAAGCTTTTGGCAAAAACATAAAGAGAAATATAACCAGCTTGTCCTCCTTAAATCCAAGGGAGGAAAGTGCATCTAGTGTAGCCATAAAATAGGAAGTGACTTGTTTTAAAAGTGCAGAATTGCTCTAGGGATCACAGCAGCTAGGGATAGAAAAAGACTATTAATTGAGTCCTTTCCCCTGTAGTCATGAATGTAATCCCCTGATGCAAATACATGCTTTATTAAGTTGTAGAGTGCTTGCTAAAGGAATCAGATCTCTAGTAACTTCATCCCTCGAGCTCTGGAGGAATTATTCTTCCTTTCTCCAAGATGTGCATTGGGGATGGTTGTGCAGCTGTGCTGCAAACTAGTAAAAGGACCAGGCCAAAGAAGTGAACAAGCTACAGTAAGAAAGACTGTTTAAATAAAGCAGTCAATGTCCAGGCTTTATGTAGACATTGTGTGCTCTTCAGATAGGTCAGTAGTTGATGGCAAAACTGAGACGTGTTGACTTGAGATGTGCTCAAGATCTCCAAGTGGATCCTGAATTTTACCAACCCTAGTTCAGTGCCTAACCTAGAGGCACAAGCAAGTGTGAGAGGAATAAGTGTAAGCTTAAAAAAAAAAAAAGAAAAAAATCTAATGCCCTTGGAATCTTCTTCAAATAGCTACCTGAGAAGTGAAAACAATAGTTCTAGCAGTTACAGCACATGAAACACAGCTCAGAATGATGCTTTTGATTACTCTCTGTTGTTTAACAGGCCCTGTGCAGCATAGGACAATACAGAGAAGCCCTGAAATATGGATGTTTGTTTAACAAGGATTTTGGCTGAGGTTTACAGCAATTGTAGCTCATTCTGGGTTTAACCTGTGAGAGGAAACACTACCCTTTGGAAAACAAGCTTCTGGTAGGAATATTTAGTCATTCCAAAATCAAGATATTTAATTGCTATATATATAAATATATTTTAAAGTATGTCTTTGGTTTAACGCCTCCTGCTAATTGCTCATCTATGAATGCACCCACAATGTTAAACCTTGGGATCTGGAACAGGGTGTGTGTGGTTTTTTTTTTTTTTTTTTTTATAACAGCTTTGCTCACCTTCTATCAAGTTGGTGACAGTCATTTTCCCCTTCCTAAAATAAATTTGAAGGGAAACATTGAATTAATTATAGATATAAAGGCTGGATGAAATAAGATAACTCATTAAGCTTTCTTTTTTGAAATTCTGTGTTTCTTTCAGAATTCTAATTTCCATTTGAATTCCACGGAATTTTGATTTCCATCTTTCCTGGATAGCATTGATGATAACTTTTTGACACAAGTTGTGGAGGAACCAATGAGGAGAGGTGAGCTACTGGACCTGGTACTAATAAATAGAGAGGGACTTGTTGGAGATGTGAAGGTGAGAGGTAGCCTTGGCTGCAGTGATGATGAGTTGGTGGAGTTCAGAATCCAGCGAGGAGGAAGCAGGGCTGTGGTCCTGGAACATCTGCCCTGTGAGGAAAAGCTGAGAAAGCTGGGCCTGTTCATCTTGAAGAAGGCTGAGAAGGGACCTGATCTATAAATACCTCAAGGGAGGGAGTGAGGAGGATGGGGCTGTCCTCTTTTCAGTGGTGGCCACCGGTAGGACTAGAGGAAACAACCACAAATTGAAGCACCAAAAGTGCCACAGAAACTTCAGGAAAAAATTTCTGGCAGTGAGGATAGAGCACTGAAACAGGTTGCCAAGCGAGGTTGGAGATCTTCAAAAAGTGCATGGACATAATCCTGCTCTAGGTAACCCCGCGTGTGGAGGGGGTGTTGGATTAGATGATCTCTAGAGGTCCCTTCCAACCATAACGATTCTATGAATCTGTAGTATTTTTAGTTTTTGTTCTATCTAGAGCAAGATAGAGCTGGTGACTTGTCCAGGGGGTACTGAGATTCTTGGGATATCAGCACAAGGTCTGTCTTTACCAGCTGATAAAACAGTCAATGTTAGACTATTGACTGTGGTTTCACAGTCCCCCTCAGTACATTACGAGGACACTAACGCTTTTTCATGCACCAGCACGTAACTGTAGTGATGGTTATTCTACAGAACATTATATTCGCATGCTATCATCAACTTGATTCCACTTAGAGTACAAGGTCTTCGTTTTGCTTTTTCTTTCCAGCCTTTTCTTGTCCTTGGCTCTGATTGTGAAGAATAGGATGTTCTTCCCTACTTAACTGAGGTTCATAGTAGTCTCTAGTCTCATAACCTTATTCCAGTGAAGACTAAAGTTTTGTCATTACTTCTGTGTATAAATTTCTCTTTGCATTATTTTCTTTTTTTAGTATTGCTTGCATCTGAATACAAATCCTGCTAGAACAGATAAGATACTCTGGGTACTGGGGTCAAGAAAAGCTATATTGCCACTTCATCTTACTCCTTAATAAGTAGAAGGAGAAATAGAATGAGCAAGCAAAGGCAGACTGAGCCCAATCTAAGCTTAATGGACTACATTGCTTAAAGTGGGGCAATTCTATTCTTGTGTATTTGTGCCCTCCTATTTAATCCAAATTCTTTAAGCTTCTGAGATTTTTTCAAATATTCTGTATCTTCACTTTGGAGTTGAGAGAGTAGTTCATAATGTATGTTTCTGGATTATATGCAAGTCATTATAAAAAGTGAAAATAAGTTGTCCACCATTTGATTATTTCCCCCCTGTTTCTGCAGTTTTCTGCTCTGAAGTTACAGGCTCCTTCATTTATTAGTATTGCCTTTATTCTCTGCAACTTGAGCTGCTGTAATTTCTTGACATCACTTCATGGTCAAGCTTTTGTGTGAGCACGTTACACCTCCAGTGCTCAGGTCAGCCACTAAATTGATGCCATCCTAAAAGCCAAAGGAGTTACTAATACAAATTCCTGTTTTCAAGTAGACTTAACAAGAAAACTTTTAGGGAGCCTATGGAAGTCTTGGACCGTCTGCTTTCTTGCAGAAAGCAGTGCAGCTTGAAAAATAATACATTTTTCACTATTTTTATCGTGCAGATAACGTATGAGATATGGACAAAATCTGAGAACCACTGAACATGTTCATAACTCTCTGTGCACATAAAATCTGCAATCAAATTGGCTGTCATGCCATCAGGTTTTCTTCTGTGGTCATGGCTGACTTAAATGGATAGTAAATGCTAGCTTTGCAGCTTTTCAATCATAAAAATACTGCTGTCTTTGCATCTGACTGCTGTCACCTAATGCAGACTTCCCTCTTTCTAGCATTTATTCAGAACTCAATTTCAGTGCCACTGAACCAATGATAAAACGTAAATACTGACTGCATGAACAACTGACATTCTTAAAGGTAAACATAAAGACTCACCACGCGGGAGCTGCTGCTGCAGATTGGGATATCACACATTGTGCTTGTCAATTCGATATGAGAGAGTGCTACAAAGGGACAAAGAAAATTCTCTGGGCAAAATTCAGCTGATACTGGCATGGTAGTTAGTAGTTCTGACTTGCATGATTGGACGGTAACTGACCCAAAAATTAATCCAAGCTCACAATTAAATATATTTCCAAACTGCCTTTTTTTTTTCCCCCCCTATCCCCTAATGGTAGGAATGCTGTGAGTTTAACAAGATTGGGGCGGACAGTAATTGAGTGATACGGTGGGAAGGGGTTACTGTGTTGATCTCTGTCAGCTCCTTTCTTGTAGGTAGCAGTTCTGAGATGTCTAAAACTTTGGACTATCTTGCTGCAGCTTAGCCTGCTTTCTAATGAGGTTGGCCTTTTCTGTGTTCTGTGACTTTTGTTCAGAGATTCTCTGGCACTAGAGAATATGCAATATTGATCAGTTATGAGGCATGCTGGCAGGGTTTTCTATGGCATTAAGTATTTTTTTCTGCTTTCCACTGTACTGTATTTTAGCCTGTAGAGGCTAATTATCTATAGTGCAGATGCAGTCCTGTAGTTTTGTTTCCAGTTTTGCATGTAGGATTCCTCACCCCTATCCACAACAAAAATTTGATGTTTCATCCTATTGTTACCTCTGCCCAGAGCTGTGCTGTACCTGCACTGCCCTAGAATTTGAGGTGGGGGGGAAAAAACAGTCCTTCTCTGCCTCTTGCCTGGAGAGCTGATCTGACAAGCATGCCTTCACTTCTAGGCAATTCATTTGAGATTTTCGGATCTCTGTTTTGAGTCAAAGTAAAGGTCTCAACTGGACCAACCCAGTGGTTCCACAGCTGACTGGCTTTTCTGCTCTCTAGGATAACAGCATCATTCCAACTCTTTGCCTACTGAATATTTGGATACTTTTATGGGGTAGACCGTCTTCTGTGAAAGAAAGTGAGGGTAAATGGCAGTCCAGCAGAGTTTTGGGACACAGCCCACCTGGATTTAGTGTAAATAAAGGAGACAATTCAGGTCCTCTGCAGCCTCTAGTACTAGATCTGTTTGCAGGAATCAGCTTCTCAGTTGCCCATTTGGCAGGAAGAAAACTGCTCTGATAGGTCCTGGACAATTTCTTTGCTAGATGTACTAGGAGTAGATATTAGCTTCAGTAGTCTGAAGATAATTAAGTTATAGAAGTTAACATGTCATCAACTCCAGACTGTTTTGCCACCCCTGTCCTATGCAATCACTGAAGAGTCATCTGGAATCCTGAGAAATCCATTTGGTGTAAGTTTATCTAAAACTTTGCAATTGTATTTCATTGGATCTTCCCTTAGTACTTAAGGAGAAGAAAAAAAGAGAGAAAGAAGAGTGTATGATATGAGAGATATATGTCTGAGATATGGGACAGGGCAGCATATAGGTGTGAATGCAAACACAGAGAACCTCCCCAGTACTTGGAGAGTTCACAATCTAATTGGCTGACAAGTTTTCTGCATGCTCTTAGTGATAAGGTTAAATATCTTGCCCTGTGACAGGTGAGTGAAAAAGGAGATCACAGTTGTCTTCCAACAGGGCTACTACTTCCTCTATAGCTTGCAGTGGTGACTCTATTTGCAGAGGATAGGTCAGGTCTCATTAGTGTGTCGTCTTGATTTCGCGTTGTGAAACAGTGCATCCTGAAGCCCATTTATTGCCTGGCTCAGCAAGGGTAACGTGTGTAACGATTAGATATATACTACCCACTCAGCTCTTACAAAAACCTCCATGAATCTGAAAAATGATAAAGGCACTTCTCAAGAGGAAGGAGGAAGAGTGCTAATTGTACTCATGTTTATCACTTCAGGAGAGTTGATAAGGTTGATAGCAAAGATAATGAGCTGTGTATAACATCACCATATAACATCCCATTGCTGCCTTGCTTACTGAAGTGCTTCTGCAGACTGTCAAGTGTTTGGATCATGCCAGCCTCATGCAGCCCTATATTGTCCAAAACTTCAGGTGTTTTTTACTTACCTTGCCTGGGAGGACAGGCATAGCGTAGTTAAAGGAATTCTTTAAGTGTACTGGGAAAATACGTATTCATTTCTCATCTTGGAATCAGATCTAGTACATGTAGGAACTTTGTGCTGCTTTGACTTCTTATGAAGCTCTGTTTGGGTCAGTGGAGGTATTTTAAAATAGGAACTGGTTGAGTGGTACCTGCAGTGTTAAGGATATCCATTTTTTCTCTTCGTTTTCTAATGCTTTTCTATTTTAAACAAGCACTGTATCATAACAGTGTGAAAAGAAGTTTCCAGTGCATGGACCAGGAGGTGTTAAAGAGTGAACAGGTTGTCCTAATTCTACCTATTCATATATCTGCTTTATGATAGTCTTGAAATGTATGTTTATTTTACTTTTTTGTTTTAAAGAATTATATATGCCTATAGAGAGTATGCCAGCGAACCTGGCAACGAAAAAGTTTGTTTCTTTTCACATGCTCAGCACT